ACACTCATGTCTGCATTTCAAGAAGAAGCTAACTGAGAAGGTCAAAGGGCCACTATATAATAGTGGAGTGACTGTAATGTGTGGATCTGGAGAAAGGCAGTGACTTCACAATGTTGTGAATATACTACATGCTGCTGAATTGTTCACTTCAATGGTTCATTTTGCTACGTGAACTTCACCTCAATTTAAAAGAAAGTTATAGAACAAATATTTGCACCCTGATCTTCTGGACCCTGGAGCACTTAAAGTCTATGATTAAGGAAAAGGTGCCACAACATGGGAAATAAAAACGGGAGAATCAACAGGCAGGAAATAAACTGTGCCAAGATGAAAGTAAACAGCCAGTATCATGCACTGTGGCAACCAGTGGGGTTAAATAAATGTACAGGTTGTGGCCCATCCTGGGAGCACTCACAGGGCACACAAGACTGTGTGAAGACTCTCAAAGATTTTATATCAGAGCCAAAATGAGGAAGAAGGAAGGAATTCTGAAGGAAGGCTTTCCAGCCAGCGAAGAGCCTGCCAGCCAGAGAACTGGCTTGCAGAAGTCAGTGCTGGCCTGATGGTGGGGACTGGAAGGAAATGCACCCACTCAACATTTGGGGGTGCCTGCTGTGTGCCAGGCACTATCTTAGGCACTGGTTGTTCAAATATTCAAAACTCCTGGTCCTTGCCCTCATGGGACTCTTTTTTTTTTAATTTTTTTTTAATGTTTATTTTATTTTTGAGACAGAGAGAGACACAGCATGAACGGGGGAGGGGCAGAGAGAGAGGGAGACACAGAATCTGAAACAGGCTCCAGGCTCTGAGCTGTCAGCACAGAGCCCAACGCGGGGCTCGAACTCACGGACCGTGAGATCATGACCTGAGCCGAGGTGGGACGCTTAACTGACTGAGCCACCCAGGTGCCCCGGGACTCTTAATAAAGGAGATAAAACCAGGCAATATCTTAGAAAGCTATGGTTTAAAGGTGGCTAAGAATTTGGGCTTTGTTCCTGATGTTTTTAGGCAGGGAAGTGAAAGAAAATCTCAGTAATTTAGAAAGACGTGAGACCTTGATGAGAGAAGAGACTGAAAAAAGATAGAAATCTATCTACATATTCAATGCAATCCCTATCAAAATTCCAAGGGCATTTTCCCCCGAAATAGAAAAAACAAATCCTAAAATGGTATGAGCATAAAAATACATACATTGACCAACAGAACAGAGAGTCCAGACGTAAACCCTTCCATACATCATCAGTGAACATTCAACAAGGAGGCCAACAGTCAATGGGGAAAGAACAGTCTCTTCAACAAATGGTGCTGGGAAAACTGGAAAAATGCATACAAGACAATAAAACCAAACCTCTGTCTCACACCACTCACAAAAATTAACTTGGAATGGATCAAACACTTATAACACCTGATATGCCAAAAATCCTAGAAGAAAATATAGGGAAGAAGCACCTCGACACTGGTCTTGACAAAGATTTTTTTGGATATGACACCAAAAGCACAAACAACAAAAGCAAACATCAGCTAAAGGGCTCTATGCTGCATCAAACTAAAAAGCTACACACAGTAAAAGAAACAATCAACAAAATGAAAGGCAATCTATGGAATGGGAGAAAATATGTGTAAACCACTTCTCAGATGAGGGGTGAATGTCCAAAATACACAAGGAACTTGTACAACTCAATGGGGGAAAATAACAATAATAATAATCCAATTAAAAACGGGCAGGGGCGTCTGAGTGGTTCAGTTGGTTAAGAGTCCAACTTCGGCTCAGGTCATGACCTCATGATTCATGGGTTTGAGCCCCGCGTCGTGCTCTGTGCTGACAGCTTAGAGCCTGGAGCCTGCTTCGGATTCTGTGTCTCCCTCTCTCTCTCTCTCTCTGCCCCTCCCCTGTTCACGCTCTGTCTCTCTCGCTCTCAAAAATAAACAAACATTTACTAAATAAAATTAAATTAAATTAAAATAAAATAAAATAAAATAAAATAAAATAAAATAAAATAAAATAAAATAAAATAAAAATGGGCAGAAATGAACAGTTTCCCAAAGAAGATAAACAAATGGCCAACAAGTACATGAAAAGGTGCTCAACATTACTCATCATCAAGGAAATGCAAATCAAAACCATACACAGGTATCACCTCACACCAGTTAAAATGGCTACCAGCAAAAAGATAAGAGACAACAAGTGTCAGTGAGGACACAGAACCCTGTGCATTGCTGGGATTAGACATCGGTCCAGCCATTATGGAAAACAGTATGGAGAATCCTCAGAAAATTAAAAATAAAATTACAACACATGATCCAGGAATCCTACTTCTGGTTAAGTGTGCAAAGGAAATGAAACATGATCTCGAAGAGGCATCTGCACTCCCATGTTCACTGCAGCATTATTCACAATAGCTAAGATCTAGAAGCAATCTAAATGACCATCAACAGATTAATACATAAAGAAGATGCAGTGTATATATAAAGTGAAATATAGCTCACCCCAAAGAAAGAGGGAAGTTCTGCCATTTTCAACAACATGGATGTACCTTGAGGGCATTATGGTAAGTGAAATAAGTCAGAGAAAGACAAATAGCATATGATCTCTTATTTGTGGAATCCAGAAAGCCAAATTCATCACAAGAGAGTAGAATGGTGGCTGCCAGAGTCTGTGGGTGGGGGAAATGAGGTATGAGTCAAAGAGTAAAAATTTCCAGTCATCATATGAATAAGTTCTGGGGATGTCATGAACAGCACAGTGATTATAGCTAACAATACTACATTATATGCTTGAAAGTTGCTAAAAGAGTCAATTTAAGTGTTCTCACCACAAAAAAGAAATAGCGATTATGGGACATAACGGAGGTGTTCACGAAAGCTATGGTGGTAATCATTTTGCAATATGTAAGTATATCAAATCACGTTGTACACCTTACGTTTATACCATGTTATATGTCAATTATATCTCACTAAAGCTGGCTAAAAAAAAAAGTATATGCAATGGGTCAGAAGAGCATTAATGCAGGTATGGATTCACATGAAGGCAGTGGGAACAGAGATCACAGGCAAGACTAGTGAGTATGGCTGGAGTTTTCAAGTGGCTGTGGGATTAAGTGACATTAATTTATGGAAAGGGCAGAGGACAATGTCTAGGCTATAGTAAATTCTCAGTGTTACTATTACTATGTTTTATATTGAGCCTCAGTGTTCTAATAATTGAGTGACTTTACTTTCCAAAGTTTAGAGCCCCCACAGATGAGAGGATCCAAACCAGCAGACCCACCACACTAAAGACAAGAACAAGGCTTATCTCTGTATTCTCTGTCAATACAAAACACTTTCCAAATATGGAGCGAATAAGGAAATGAATAAAGGAACAAACAAACAAACAAGTAAATACAAGAACAGCAATGACCTCCAACTCCCAACCTGTAAAAAAACAAGAAATGGCTCCTCAGCTGATCTACAGAACACTTTGAGAAAGATTCGTTTTCAAGGAAGAACACATAGGAAGACGTCCCATATCTTGCATATGGAGCAGAATCAAGGAACTGGGCTTCCCAAGGAATATCCACTGTTCTAAGAATCTAAATATTTTACCTCCATGCCATCCCATAACCATTTTTATTCAAGCTGACAACTCTGTAATTAAAGTCCTTAGGCTGCTGCTTGATTTTTCCAAGTGGGCTTTGTCTTTTTGCAGCTGCAGAGGCTTTCTGCCAGGAGCCCTGCAATGTTGGGCATTGAGGACTCCTGCTTGTCAACATGTCCCCATTCACGGGTGGGCAACCTTCCTCCTCCTATATTTGTCTCTTCAAGATCAGAAACTCACCCCAAAATGGCAGGTAATAAAAAGGTACCTATTGGCCAATTAACAAATAACACTCTTTGCTACTATTATTATTTCCTGTCCAATCTCCTTATACACTAAAATATATAGTGTTTCTACTATGATTACATATGTTACTGAAAATTATCATGTTTTATAAGATTCAATACCAAAAATAACGGAGTTTGGGGAAAAAATGGTTTGGGGCATTCCTCTCAAAACCTATGGAACTGCAAAATACAATAAAAATAATAACTGGTAACCTTGAGAGTTAGTCTGACCATGTAGGCAGGTAGCTCAGCATAGTACGTGGCTAACTCAGCAGACATTTAAAAAAACCCTTAGGGGCGCCTGGGTGGCGCTGATGGACTGGCGTCAGGCTGGCCAGGTCTTACGATCTTGCGCAGTCCGTGATTCGAGGACCCAGCGTCAGCAGCTCTGGCTGATGGCTCGGCTGGAGCCTGTTGATTCTGTGTCTCCTCTCTCTGCCCCCGTTCATGCTCTGTCTCTCTCTGTCCCAAAAAATAAATAAATGTTGAAAAAAAAAAAAATTAAAAAAAAAAAAAAAACCCTTAAAAAAACAAGGGTAAAGCACATGATAACTACGATAAACACCTGCAGACCGCATAGGAAGAAACATCCTTCTTGAAGCCAAGAGCCATGAAAGGCTGACTGTACCTGTCTGGGGGGGGGGGTGGAGACAGGCCAGGTGATCTTTGTATTCATTGTCAACACACACACACACACACACACACACACACACACACACGGACACGCACACATAGTCCAGCAGCTGAGCTAAGGACTTTTTCCCTATCCAGCTCAAGTTCAAAATTCTACTCCCACTGCTCCCTTTACCTCAGAAAATTTGTCTAAACCAACATGACTCTGGCCCTGCTCAGACACCTTGCCCCTCTTGTCCAATCGTGTATGAGCCCACATGCATCACAGAACAAAGCACATGGTATTCCATGCTGTCTTCAAAGTAAGTGGTTGGAGCAGGCCGAATGTCCTTAGGGAAGTCACCTGCACAATCATGAGCAGAGGCATGTGAAACCAAGGGTGAAGACCTCCCCAAACTGACTGTTCCCCATCCTATAAGCTGTCCTATTACCTATTAAAGAAATAATTCCCAGAGAAAGATGTGACCACAAGATCAAAACAACAGAAAAATGCAAATACTTACATATAATATGTTGGATAGAGTCCTTCAAAATACCAGCAATGTTTTTTGGCCTCTGTACACTGAAAATAGAAGAAAACCTTTGTCAGTGGAAAGTCATCTGCATATTGTTAAGACGACTGGACAAAAAGACACAAGGAAAGGTAAGTTGATACATCTTGAAGTGTAGAAAGCAGAGGGTTGGGGGAGACCCTGCATCAGAGGGAGATCCACCCTCCACAATGACTTTTTATTTCTTTATATTTCTTAAAAGGGAAGAAGAAAACATAGGAAAACATCTCTTTGCCTGTAATTTTTCTAGCTTTCTATTTCCCTACATACATGGGCATGACCAATTCATTAAAAAGTAAACTAAAGACAATCTGTTTTTAAAAATTCACACAGTACGGGGGCACCTGGGTGGCTCAGTTGGTTAAGTGCCCAACTTCTGGTTTTGGCTCAGGTCATGATCTCACGGTTTTGTGGTTTCAAGCCCCACATCAGCACAGAGCCTGCTTGAGAGTCTCTCTCTCCCTCTCTCTCTCTGCCCCCCCCCTTTCACTGTCTGTCTCTCTCCAAATAAATAAATAAACTTAACAAAATTTAAAATTCACATATTACGATACTCCAACATCTAAAATATGCTAGAACTAAAATATTATAATTATTTCAATTTCTCCCCAACTTTCGTGTTTGAAAGGTATTTCCCACAGTTTTGACCTTTCCAGATCTTTCTATTTCAGAATATTCCAAAAGGCATATTCAAATCATGGCTCCTCCCATGGAGATCCTCATCTGGCAGACTGTGTAAAGCAGGATTCACTTGCCAGCATCAGTACCGCCCCCTGCCCTCATTTCCAGGGATGAGAAACAGGGAGGGTGATGAGGAAAGACCCTAAGAGCTTCCCGAGTGCTTTCCAAGGAAGTGTCACACTTGACGTTATGGGGGGCACAGCAGGTGCAAATGCTGCCCTGGTGGACAGACTGCCTCACACGCCTCCAACAAGTGAGAGCAAGCCGACGGCACCAAGTGCTCAGTGAGAACTCCAAGCAGAAACACTGTCCTGGACCTAAACAAGATATTTTTAAAATTCTTCGGCTTGTTCTACCATTTTTTTTTTTAAATTCACAACTTCCTACATTCATGATCCAGTTCATTGGACCCTATGTATAAACAATACCTCCCAAATAGTAGTGCAAATCTACCAGTGGGAACACAGGGAAAGGCGTCACGAAAACAAAGCTTTCTTTGGGCAAGGCAGGGTCTGTCTCACCCAACTCCCCAGCCTGACCCCACCATCTGCCCTCTGCCTTGCCCAGTGCTAGCAGGTGTATGGCGATGCCTTCCCGCAACAGTCTTCCCGAATAGCTCTCAAGACGTTTCAGAAATAGACCCTGACTCTAGAGTGGAGAGGCGAAAGCAAATATTATGTGTTACACTGGCTAAATCAGATGGGTTATGAAAACAGCGTGAAACACTGGGGGTGAGGGGGGGTGGTTTAAATGTGCTTTAGGACACCCAGAAGCACACTCGGACAGCCCAAAGTGACCCAGCTGTATGAATGGAAAATGAGTTTAATTTAGACTCTGTTAGTTCCTGTCCAGTTCAGGAAAGGAAATTCAGACAGCTAAAGAAATTAATTTATTTTGGCAAGAAAGAGAAATTTCAAGTGTCTGCCCTAAACTACAATTTATTTCACTAGAGTCCTCTATTATAAGCTGAGCAACCAGGTCGTTCTTCCAGGTGGCATGTTAAATGTTCCTTCTTTATTCTCCATCACTATTGGAGACAGGCACACTTTCTTAGAACTTGACACTCACCTCTCCCCATACTGCCCCATGACTACAGGGTGGCAGAGAGAGATCCAGACCAAGACATCAGGATCCTGCTCCCAGATCTGTCACTAACAGCCTGACAGACTCTGTGAAAGGAGGCTCTCTCTGCCCTTGACACTCAGCTGCCCATGTGGTGGGGCATGTGACATGCACAGATGTGTGTATGGGCTCTATGGCGGTATGTGTGAACTTCAGAACTACGACAGGGTATCGAAAAGCACCAAACTGTTAATACAGAACAACTCCCAGGCACTATCAGACATGAGGATTGGGAAGGAAATCTAGCAGTGTCTGGGAAACGATGAATGTATTTCTCTTTAACCACTGACTATCTCTCCACAAATATGAAACATAATATGCAATGGTTTATTGATCATGGCATTATTTCTAATAGCAAAATCTTGGAAATGACACAGATACTCACAGCAGGCTGGTAAAATACACTACGATAAATCTACACAACGTGGCCAACAAGAGGTCTCTTGTTCCGAGGTCTCTCGGAAACAGTATGAAATGATTTCTAAGATGCAGTGTTACTCAAAAGACAATAGGCAAAAGTGTGCATCCATTATCCTCCTTGTTACGGAAAACGAAAATTCTACATTTGGTTAATTTCTTACTAAATGAATTACAGGAAAGGTATAGTAAAAACTAATGAGAACGCTTACCCCATGGCCGCTGCGTTAGGAGATGGGAGAAAGAGTGATGGCACATTTCTCTGTGTATACTTTTTTATTCACAGTTTGACTTTGGAATCATGTAAAATTCTTTCACGTTGAGAAAAATAAAGTTAAGTTAAAAAGAATTTGTAAAAAATCTACTCTTCTCAGACCACAAAAATCGACTAAGGACTATCAGGGCACTGCACGCACACATCACTTTTTGCCGGAAGGAAGCAGACACAGCAAACAGCTGGGAAGGTAGAAGAGCTTCACAAGAAACTTGTGAGGAGAACACACTCCTCTTCACACCCTCCCAATGCCCTCAGATGTTAGGACACTATTTCCATCCCATTCTCCCTCTGATCTCAAAATGTTATTTCTGGTGTTTTTGCTGAGATCTTCAGTAACCTCACTGGGGCCTCCTTGGTCATTACTTTTGTTCACAGTTATTTGCTAATCACCTTTTTACCATTTTTCATTAAGCTAGTCAAATAAAACCTAGTTTGAAAAGTATCAACCTCCATTTGTTCCTTTAGAAAAGATTCTCTTCAGAAAATGTTATTGTGGGGGCACCTGGGTGGCTCAGTCGGTTAAGCAACCGACTCTTGATTTCAGCACACGTCATCATCTCACAGTTCCTGAAATTGAGTCCCGTGTTGGGCTCCGTGCTGACAGTGTGGGGCCTGCTTGGGATTCTCTCTCTCTCTCTTTCTGCCCTCCCTTGCTTGTGCACATTCATTCTCTCTCTCTCTCTCTCTCTCTCTCTCTCTCTCAAAATAAATAAAAATAATCTTTACCAAACAGAACATTTTGTAGCCACATTTCCTGAAGCAGAAGAGAGAAACACTTTTGAAGCTGAGCTATTTACCATTAAAACATAGTTTCATTTACTGCTACTTGAAGCTTGTTTAAGCTTTTGACATTTGCAAATATCCAGGTAACTTCTTCATTATTTTTGGTAGCTGGACTTTTACAACAGCTTTCTTGTATAAGAAATATTATATAATAATACACACAGATAATACTTCCCTAAAGTTAGAATGGGGTATTATTCCTTTTTACAGCTGGATAATTGGAAGAACACAGAATGACATATTTCATGAGTCAGCTGAAAACACTGAATGAGGACTAAGAAGTTCTGGGAATTTTCATCATCGAGTCTTTCCTTCACTAAATGCTTGTTAACTGAATCCCAGGTGTCAAAGTCAGCTTGCACACCAACCCAAGAGCTTCATGGTAGGACTGAAGATCAGGTACCGTAGGGTCGGAGGCGGAAAGGAAGATCCCTGCTAGAAACCACCCAGGATTGAGAGCCGGTTCCGCCAAGTGAAAGTCTACCAACAAAACCATGATTCGCCTATCAATTCCAAACCCGAAATCTAGCATAAGCACCAGGATTCAGGGCAGACCCAGACAGCTGGAGCTCTGGACATGTGGCCAAATGGGAGGTTGTGAGGGATGAGTAAGGAGGGTTTCCAGATCATTCCCAATAGTGGTGGGCTCTCAGAAGTGACTTCGTGAGCAAATGGATGGGTGGTATGGGGAGAGGCAGAAGGAAGTCTTTGTGCTAGGGTCCACTAGGAAAACACACCCACATCAAGGGGTAAGGGTGTATTCATCCCACCGAAGAAAGATGAATCAGAACATAGCTGGGTTCTCAAGCTGACTGCCACTTATCAGTCATGGTGTCAGTCAGTCTGCACCTCAGCTGTCTTATTTCTAAAACAGGATCATCTGTCTTCCCTGCTGAATTTATAAGATGGCTTTATGAAGTCACTGAGATTGAATGCATCAAAATGCCTGACCAGATCAGCGTATAGTCCACTGAATCTCACACCCAGCCAGGAATTCCATCTCTAAATGTGTGCCCTGAAACAAGCTTTCCTACTTCTCTGCAACACATGACTCACTTTACTATGATCATCCAAGGAGAAGCAATGCTTTCAAATCTTCTGAGAACAAAGATTCTAAGTATGTAATATCTGACATTTGCACACTATTTAGTTTTCCAAAATCTCTGTAAAGCAAACAAACCCCGCCCTAAAACAAGTTTTAACTATATCAACTAGGGGAAAAAAACCACTGTCCACCCAAAATGTAGGCCTACTCATTCTACAAAGGTACTATCATGGATTCTTAGGGATTGACCATCTACTGAAACAGAAACTATATTTGTTAGGAGAGGTCTTGTCAGCTGCTCTCTGCTACCGTCTAGGCATCTTCAACAGCCAGGGTTCTCTACCAGGATCTGGGCAAACGGTAGGCCCTCAATGCACTCATAATATAATACTCCTCCCATGTGTATAATGAAAGTAATAAGCATAGCCATCTCTTTTTCAAAGATATCATAAATAATAGCAACATTCACAAAGCAGAATATGCCGGATTGTGAGAAAACATCTACCATAAGGAGCAAGTGAAGGGTAATCTAAGGTTTAAACTGGAAAGGTTTGTAAGACATCTGCAGTCAGCGAAGAACCCCAGTGCTCTATTATTCAAGGACTAGGATGTCTATAAATGTAGTTGAGCCCTCCTAAATATAGTCATCCATATTTAGCCAGGATCTAAATAAGCCCAAAGAACATATCCTTTGCTAATCCCCAACAGCAATCCTCACACTGACATAAATTATTCTGAATCTATCTGTGCTGAAAATAGGAGGTCCCAGATGCCACCGTTTAATAAAATGGTACAACCTTCTCCTACTCCAACTTAACAGAAGTGTTGCACCACAACAGCACACAGTCAACTCTGACAGAATGAAGCTGCCTGTGACTTTGGGACACACAGGAGTGAGGACTCGAGTGTCTAAAGGATTCAGAACACTGGATTTTATCTAAATCCCACCCTTTCTCCTTTTGCTCAAAGGGGGATGGAGTTGGATCTTTAAATGAATAGCCAACTGGAAAAGTAGTGTTTCACTAACAGAACTGATCCCACTGACACCTGGAAAGCAAGGATTTTTTTTTTTAATTTTTTTTTCAACGTTTATTTATTTTTGGGACAGAGAGAGACAGAGCATGAACGGGGGAGGGGCAGAGAGAGAGGGAGACACAGAATCGGAAACAGGCTCCAGGCTCTGAGCCATCCGCCCAGAGCCTGACGCGGGGCTCGAACTCACGGACCGCGAGATCGTGACCTGGCTGAAGTCAGACGCTTAACCGACTGCGCCACCCAGGCGCCCCAAGGATTTTTTTTTTTAACTTATTTCACCAGTCTGTCCTGGACCAGTAAGTCCTCAACTTTCTTCAACATGGTGGGAAGGCCCTGGGAAAATCAGTTTGAGGACTCTCTGTCAAAGGGGAAAGATGCCCGGCTGCACCTCGGTGCTCCTTTCACATTCGTCAAAAGCTGAACTTGAAACACACACCACCGGATGTAGGCTGCATTCTGTTCCAGCCCAATTAGAGTGCATTTACACTCAGCACAGACTCTGAACAAAGAGAGCCTCTTGGATGCTGACAGGGCTTGATGCTCAGGACCAGGGACAGAGAGAGAGGGCAGCAGGAGGCCTTGTGGAAGTCAGAGCAAGAATTTATGGAGGGAGTAACAGCTAATTATATCAAGGTCTCTGAATTTCAAACAATAAATAGGAGTCAGCATGCCTCAAATTCTTGTACTGGAATTTTAATCAACTTCCTAAGTGCTAATTAGTTAATCCTTGGGCTTATGGATATTCTCTTTTTCAGGAACATCTTGCCTCCAAGGAACCTTGATTTTTTTTTTTTTTTAAATAAAAGTATGAGGCTTCTCACAAGCAACATTTATTAAAGGAAAGAAAGCAGAGAAACTCTTTAAATAACAGAAATAAAAGATCGTCTGATGTCTTACAGAAGAAACCAATCAGCCAGCAAATAACTATTAGATATATAACACTGTCTATTACTATCTTGAAGATTCTGGGGACATGTAGACTATAAGACACAAATTAGGCCCAGCTACATATCCCTTGGAAAATTCTGTGGACTCTCATAACTTATTCTGAAGAAAGCTTCCTTGTTAGCTTTATCTGCCTTAGTTTTTCATGAAGGAATGGTAGGGGAACTCAGTCAAGGTCCTTAATTCAAGTAGGTAAAAATCCTCAGGTCCAGGAAATGAAAATTAATCAATAACCAAAATTAAAAGGCAAACAATAAGGTATGAAAATATAATAAACTTAGTATCTTTAAATAAAAAGCTTACATAATAAAGATAAAAATTCCAATAGGAAAAATAAATAAAAGTAATAGATATGGAAATTCTTCAAAGAAGAAACAAAAACGGTCAATAAAGCTATTTTCTGAGACAAAATTCATTAGTAATCAAATAAGTATAAATTATAATGATGTGGTTTTATTTATTTATTTATTTTTTTAATTTTTTTTTCAACGTTTATTTATTTTGGGGACAGAGAGAGACAGAGCATGAACGGGGGAGGGGCAGAGAGAGAGGGAGACACAGAATCTGAAACAGGCTCCAGGTTCCGAGCCATCAGCCCAGAGCCTGACGCGGGGCTCGAACTCACGGACCGCGAGATCGTGACCTGGCTGAAGTCGGACGCTTAACCGACTGCGCCACCCAGGCGCCCCTATAATGATGTGGTTTTAGCTACCAAATTGTTTAATAAAAAAAAAAACAGTATCAACTACTGATGAGGACAAGAGGGTAAAGACATATCACATAATAGTGTTGGGAATATAATGTCTCACGACAATTTTCAATATATATCAAAAAACCCTTTGCAATGTACGTTTGGTTAACAAAATTATAATACATCCAAAAGATATATTAGTAGGCATATACTATCAGATACCAGAAAAATATACAATTGTATGGGAGCATTTTGCTAAGAAAAATAAAGCCAATAAAGAGCATATCTAGGACAGCATATACTTGCTGCACATCATAGGACAGAGAAAACAATATGTAAAGATATATGCCAAAATAATGACAATAAATTACCTTTCTGGTGGCATTAGAGATGATTTTTTTTTTCCATTGTTCATCTTGGTAATCAAGTTTCTAAGCTTTCCGTATGGAACATTCTGTTTTTAAATTTGTTAAATTGTACTTGAAAAAGCAGATCACTTACTGTCCAATAAAGAAGTGCAGAGTAGACATAAAGAGATATTTAAAATGAGGAAATATAATTGGCTAACAAAAGTGAACATCATCCTACCATAAATTAAATAAGATGTAAGAGATGAACAAAGTTTGTGAAAAATAATATACAAGGCTAGAAAGAGTGTACTGAAACAGCAATTAAAACTGTATTTCTAAGAAGTTTAACATCATGAAAAAAACTCTCATTTTATGCAGTCATTTTAAAATACATTACATAATTTTAACAATGTAAAAACAAATCTGTGTTTATAGGAAAAATGGGACAATATAAGCCTAACTCTATAGTGTATTTTGGGAAGTGCGATTTCCTTTGGGCTGCTTTGCAATCTCCCTCTAACTGAGCCTGAAATTCTTGTAACAATATTATCAGAAGCTGTTGTAGCAAGATGCAGGTGGCACATGAGTCCTAAATTAGCGTCAAAGGTGGGATCCGCTGAAAGACTCACAACACTTGGGTACACAGGCATTCCTACTCGTGCCATTTGAACATGAGAGTTTTGAGAAACATGCTTTTTTTTTAAGTTTATGTATTTATTTTGAGAGAGAGAGAGAGAGAGTGAGAGCAGGGAAGGGAAAGAGAGAATCCTAAGCAGGCTCCACACTGTCAGCACAGAGCCTGACGCAGGGCTCAAACTCATGAACCGTGAGATCATAACCTGAGCTGAAACCAAGAGTAGGATGCTTAACTGACTGAACCATCCAGGCTGCACGACCATGCTATTTTTTAAAACAATTATCAACATAAAGTATAATTTATGAGACAGTCATGTGATCCACGTTCTAGCTCAATATGAGGTTTAATTCATATGCCATTTGGAAAACCTACCCTCTTGTGTTTCTCCATTACTCTCACACGACTACCATACTCACGTCACTTCTGATACCAGATGTGTGGGGGTTTTCCCCACACCACCCGGTAATTTGGTGACACCACCTGGGTGTCCTACAATAATAACTCAGCTCTGACCCTATGTACCAGGAGATAGCATTAGATCCCACAGGTTAAGGGCTCAGTCCTGCAAGAGTGCCCTGACCCCCTTCAAGCACCAGTTGTCACTTAGGCTTCTGATCTACCGGCTCTGGATCAGAGGTTCCCACGACCCCCCGCTGAGGTTCCATTAATCTGCTATGATGGCCCATAGAAGTCGGAGAAACACCTGACTCACTAGATCACTGTTAGTATAAAAAGATAGAACTCAGGAACAGCCAGATGGACAATATGCATAGGGCAGGATAAAAGGACGGGG